GGAGGATACAGTCCAGTCGACCCCTGATGCTACAACTTTTATGCCTAATAAAACATATAAAATGACACGGTTACAAATACACAGTGATAAAAAAAAAACAGAATTGTCATTTTGGTCGCCATTTTGATAAAACAAAATGGTTGATATTGACGGATTAATTTTACTACTACGATTATCATTTTGGTCGCCATTATGAAAAACAAAATGGCGGGTATTATCGGATTTATTCTTATACTGCAATTGTTTGATGTAGCACCCCCAAAAACCCATTCAATGACATTAATAAACACATAACTTATGAAAACTCGAAAATTTGTCATTTTGGCGTCCATTTTGAAAAAAAAGATGGCGGAAATTGTCGGATCAAATTGTTACTACAATTTTCGTCTTCAGCACCCCTGAAAACCCCTAGAAAACAATATTCAACGACTAAATAGCAAATAAATGGCTTGGTTGCTATGGGATTTTGTTTTGAAACATACCAAATCTTTAACTTGATTTTTCTCAAAACTTACTTTGGTGAGTTGGGTGGCATTAAGCAGTCACAACTCGGTCAATTTTCGCCCGATTCAAACAAACTATACATCAAATTGAAGGTAATGAGTCGGATAATGTGAAAATAACAATAACTCAATTTTCAAAATTTCCTCATTAATGCAACTCAGTATGCCATGGGGGGTCACATATAGCTATGACTATGAATCAAAATAAATCTAACTAGAACTCCACAGGAGTGCTGAAGGCTTTCATGACACTGAAAGAGAGAGAGAGAGAAATGGAGTTTAACGTCCACTCGACACAAACTAGGTCATTTCGGGACTAACATATGGTTTAATTTTATTTCAATAATTCGCTTGCACATAGGGGTCTTTAGCAGTTTGAGGAAAACGGAGGACCCGGAGAAAACCCAGGAGGTTGGATTCATGACACTGAAACATTCTAGATTTGAAAATGGGAGTTAAATGTACCAGTCATATGGTGACGATGATATTCAATACATGTAAACATTTCTCGTTTTTCGATTATGGTTGTAATTTTGTACTTTTATTTTGCTTATTAAATTCTGTCTATTTTTTTTTATCTTTTGTTTTATCAAGTCCAGTCCTCTCATCTGCAATGTGTACAAAATAGATTTGATTGAGGAAATTAACATTCTACTTCGGAGACCTACATGTATGACAGAAAAGCCAGGACACATTTAGACCGTTTGTTTCTTGGAACCGTTCCAGGGATCTTAATCGGCTGTTTTTTGTCGGCTTTAGTCAATTGATCTTTAATCTAGCCAATTGGTAAAACAATGAACTGGCTACTAAGGTATCACAAATCAATCTACTTTCGGCCGATTACAAAGAAAGAGTTAATTATTACTCGTCAATTAAACATGCTTTATGCAAGAGCAAAATCTGCTTATTACAAGTCTTTCTTTAGGCCTGAAATGTTATCTATATTATCAATTAGACATTAATTAACTTATCCAGACCATAATACACTCTCGATGTCAAGGCTAGCCTTCGATGTTGGCTGGATTAAATTCCTATATGCCGCTTAACGGCCATTGATAATTAAATCAAAACAGTGGATAATCGAGACTATGCTGTTTTTATTAATGATTTTAGTAATGATGACCGAGACTATGCGAAAATTTCACCGGCTCCGTTCTCGGCTCATAGTGGATCAATTTGACTGAAATTTTCAGCAAATTACCTTTACACTATCTAGTTTTTAACTATTATAGCGAGAACTGCCATCTCTTTATCTTATCTCCCATAATGTATCTTTAAGAAACCCATCAAAGAGTCAATCATTACAATAAATACCTTCGGCTTATTTCATAAATAAACAACTTAATTGAGGTAATCATGCCAAGTACTTGAACACATCGCAGTATGACACCAGGAAACGTAAACGAGATTTAACTGAAGATAGTGATGGCGGCGGCGTTGACCTTGAACTTCAAGCATGCACGTCGTCAATGGAAATTCCAAAAGCCAGAGATCCTCCCAGTCCAATATAGGTCAACCAAATTATCGGCAATAAAAGACCATATTAATCTGACGATCATACCTGCGCAGCAAAGAAAGGCGATGGCAGAACAAAGAGTTTAATTCCCAAATCTATAGAAATTTTTTCAAACCAGGCGTTAATCCGAAATGCGTATTTCATCAAAATGAAATACGCATTGCCATCGAAAATTATGAACAATGATTGAACGATTTGACAGAACAGCAGGGACATGAAATGACAAACAAATTATATTGTGATTTTAATTGTTGTGGTGAATTTATTTCTTTAAAGGAGCTAAATCGCTAATATTTAGTAAGGTTGCAACGATATCAAATTATTTTATCATGATTAATTACGATAACAGCTTTTGAAACTATCGCGATAAATAGCAGTATTGCGATTATGTATTTTATCATGATAATTCTCTTTTATCGCGATAATTTAATATAAATATATAATAATGACGATGATGGAATGTTCCAGACAATACACCATAAAAGTCACAATTTGTTTCCAACTTTTATTTTCACAATTCCAAATAAGTAGTTATAGTAGTAGTTTTTATAAACAAAATGTTATAATAGTAGCTCTTTCTGAGTATAACTGTACGTTTCAGTTTGGTGTACATGTTTATATAAATCTATTCAGTTTTCTGATGCAAAAAAAAAACAAACAAAAACTCAGCAGCTGTGTTAACAAATCAAAATGAAATGAAGTAATCACTACTGTAAACTAAAATCTTTAGTCTTTATGAAGATGTATTACTATTAATCAACTGTTTGAAAATATCTGATTATTCATATACAGAATTGCGTATTATTTACAAACGATTTGGGAATTTGAATATCCGATTATTGACACACAGAGAATTTCAATATCAGATTATTTACATAGAATAGAATCAAATTATAATTATTTGGATTTCCGATCATTCACACAAAATAACATTAGCTACATTTGGTTGATAAACTAATATCATCATCTCCAAAAAAATCTGAGTATGTTTGACCCTTCCCTAGAATCTTGCGTGTTGGACATATTTATTACAATGTTAATGTCATTGGTTAAAAATAAAATTAATTCATAGATTGAAGCTATGATGATCCATGACGGCATAACAAGAAAGAAAATTGAAACATCCGGGGAGTTGAGCATTGACTAAATTGACCAGCCTCGAATATGTTAGGCTATAATTGGGCAGTGTGATTGTACGTGTTTCCAATAACCGTAGTTGTCTAAATACGAAAATATCAGCTAATGTATACTTTTGATTGATATTGGTTTGTATGATTTTAAAAATAAGCAACTAAAAATTGTAAAAAAAAACCCCACTTGAACGTATAAAAATTTATTCCAATTGCTGAACCCGAGTACGAGTCGTTATAATATTTTATGAGAAAAGAGACTGGATGATCAGTTATAACAGTTGCCTAGCACCGGCATCTTCCGCCACACCGGAAATGAACTTGTCAGAGTTACTATCGATGAATGTTATTGATTTAAAATAACGTCTATTCTCCCGATAATCAGTGGTCTGGCGATTATTAGATTTATCGCGATAACTGAACAAATCTCCCGATATACCGGGGATGGCGATTATCTGATTTTGGGCCGAAACGATATTATAATTTAAAAAATAATCGCGATTATGCGGCATCCCCGGGGTATCGCTGCAACCTTAATATTTAGGACCTAGAAATTGACCCAAATGGGTCGCAACGCATATAATAATGTAATTTGATTGTATATAAACTGATTTACATTCAATTGTTTCCGTTTTGACTCTTTAATTTCAAATCAGTTATGTCCAGCGAAATACGGCCTGTGTCTCAACCCTATAGCAATTTCTAGCGTCTGGTTATTCCAATCTATTGAGCAGGTTCTCCAGTTGAAAATGTTTAGGGGGGTGGGGGATGGGTGGCCAAATGGTTAGAGCATGCACGCTGTATTATAAGGTCTATCGTTTTCAGTCAATTGACGTGATTTATAGTGATTTCGATTCCCCGTTCCCGGTTGTACATGACAATTTGAATATATTCCTGAGAAGAGTTAATAACAGTTTGCATACCATTTATAAAGTTCAAGAATATAGATCTATTTGGTCATTCAATCGCCATTATTAAAGTCCCGGACCTTCTTGCCACAGAAATGGATTAACGTGTGTGAGTAGAATCATAAGGTCTGTCATTGGATCAAATGGCATGGGTTCTATTCGAGTAGGGTCACATGTTCAGCCTCCTAGGTTTCCTCTTGGTCCTCCAGTTTCCTCCCACTGCTAAAGACCCCTATGCGCAAATGACTTATTAAAATAAAATTTAATCATGTGTTAGTCCCGAAAATGACCTAGTTTGTGTTGAGTGGATCTCTCTCTCTCTCTCTCTAAATGCATCCCTGAAATAAAATTTTAAAACATAGACAATAAGTGCAAATTAGGTAAAGCTTCCAGCCCCGCCACCCCACCCCAACCAGAAGTAACAGAATCTAAATGTTTCATAGAGATTTGTACGTCCAATGCAAACGATGACTATGGTCTCGGTCTTGTTGATATAATTGAGTCAAATTTATTTATCAGGCAATACACATGCAGCACCCTTATTTTATGATTTAAACTATAGTTCTACACACACAAATGTACTGTATGAGATAAAATTGTGGCTAGTTTAGTTCTTATTAAACTCGGCAGACCAATAGAACTCGCATTGTGAGGTTTTATCATGAAATGTTCCCACACAGTAAACAAGTGTCGTTACATCTGCACGCATTCGATGTATTGTAAATAAAAAACAGTTATTTTTGTTTACATTAGTCAAAGCAAAGATCTTTTACATTTCCTTACTCTGGAGCAAGATGTTTCTTCTGGTGACATTATTAGGTGTCAGCTACTGGCCTAATTGATAGACAGACTGATGGACAGACAGTTGGACAGATAGAGGAATTAATTGATTGTCTTGGTGAAAGAGAATACAATAACATTCCTTATTTTTTTTTATATACAGATAGGACAGAGAAAGGTTAAAGTTAAATGGGATGAAAGTATGGAAATCAACATCTTATTCTGTGCTGTATTTAACTCAAATACAAAAGAATTATATTTTTATCGTAAACGTGTTGATAATGATGATGATGATGTTGATAATGATGTTGATAATGATGATGATGATGATGATGATGATGATGATGGATTTATTAATGATGAACTTGAGTTTTCTATTTATGGAAGAAATACAAACAAAATTCAACTTCTGGGATCAAGTACATTTATAAGTCCCCGTAGATTGTATGAAAACTCATGCCAACTGAAAGCTGAAAATTTATTACAACGACCAGATTCATATGTACCTGAAAATGTAAGTTAATATATATCTTAATTACGCCTAATTAAGCTTTTTAAAAAGTGTGTAGTATTTCAAGTGCAAAAATTCTCAAACTTGACCAAAGAAAATGCCTTTTTGGTCAAACTCTCCCTTGGCGATCCACCACCACAATAGCCAATAAAATGACTTGGCCATCAAAACATGCTGTTGCAGAAGTTTTGCCAGGCTTTAAAACATGTATGTAAGTAAAATATCAGAAATCATTAGAATTTGTTTGGCTTCTAGTTCTGCACATGCTAACATTTAGTCTACAAAGCATATGTTATCATGAATTTAGCTGTTCTAAATCATTCAAAATCAAGAGCCATAAACAGTACATATAAACCTATAGGCAATCTAACGATAAATTTGCTCTTTACAAGATTTTTCAAAGTGATCAATGTCCATAACTCTGGCAGTTGTAGAGTGTCCACAAGATTTTTATTAAAGTATCAAGGGCCATAACTCTAGTAGTAATTGTTGGAAATCAATCGATTTTTTTATAAATTTAATCGGATTATAACTTAACATTAAATACAGAAACTCTTGTTAAAACACCACAATTAAACAATACCCAAAAGTCGTAGTGAATGACGTGTGGTTTAAAGATGGGTTCCCGCATACAAACTGGGTGATTTAATGGTATATATGGACGAAAAACATATTCAAACTAATTAATTTGTCATAATTATGCTTCAAATCCTTCTCAAACATTGTAATTGCGAAGGAATGCCCTGCTAACAAAATTCAATCAAACCAGGTCATATTTACGTCACGTCTTGGAAATCAGAGGAGAATCCATTGCATACATAAGACGATGCTGTCTTTAATCGCTTATTTTTTATTACAAATATCAAATCCTAATTAAATTCTCGGATTATCCACTACCCGCATCTTCTTCTGTCATTTTTATCTCAGAAAGTGTTGTACGTCTAACCCTTCATAAAGTTTATCAACTTGTACATCAAGCGCTCAATGTTCGCTTGTAACCTTTGACATCACGCGTGCAGAATCTCTTAATCGTCGGGCTGTTGATTAGGGGAACCCTTACGTTTTTTTCCTGTATATGCTCCATGAGTGTTTTTCGGGGAATCCAGTATTTTTCTAGTAAGATTGGATATCTCTACTTTCCATATATACCAAAATTGCCATACTTTTATTGGAAATAACCACCCGATAAATACTTTTCTGGGAACCCATCTTTAACAGACAAGACCATATATAACTACGTCAATATGTGGGCGTATAAAAATTAAAAGAGAAAGACCTTTATTAAATAATTGATCAACCTATTCTTTGTTTCAGGTTGAAACAATTCAAGTGCATCAAAACATTCAAGTACAAGATGGAGAACGCAAAAAGCAAATAGTATTTGAACTAACAGATGAACCAAATGAAAATTTATACATCCAGCACGTTGTTATAACTTACAAAAAAAACAGCGACATAAGGCGTAAACAATATATGGAATTAATCAAGACATCCGAAAGCGAAATTCCTTGGGGACTGTCAAATAGTACCAGATCCAGATGTAAAATTACCTGTCTATTTCATAAAGTAAATAAGGTGTCCGATGTTAAATACTTTGTCACTAATTCATATTGCACAGAGTTTAATACACGTAAGTAATCTAAATATTGCTTTACGATAACTTTAGGTTGAAGGATTTTTAAGGTTTAATCAAGAGCATGCAATCCTTAAAGATAGTTGCCAGGCAACGAAATATACACCCACAGCAGCAAAGTCGTCCAGGCACTCAACTAAAGTTGTCCATATTTTTTCTTTTGTCAGTAATGAAGCATTTACAATACAAGAGTAACAACTCATTAGTAACAGAAAATCATTAGAATTTGATTTGCTTCTAGTTCTGCCCCATGGTATCATTTAGTATTCAAAACATTTAATATCATAGAATTAGCTGTTCAAGTTATCAAAAATCATTGAAAATCAACATACTTGTTCGTCTCAAGATCTTTACAGATGTGTATCAATCTAACGTTAATCGAATGATTACTTTGGCCTAAAGAGCATCCCCAACATTTTTTGAAGTAATCAAGGGCCGTAACTCTGGCAGTAATTACATGTATTCTGGTGGAAATTGTTGAAAATGAAATGAAATGGGGTTTAACATCCTACTGTTCTGCTCCTAGCCTGGGCTAATGAGGATGGGCATACGCCATACAGTGTGCTATGAGGGAAATTTTGCCCGGGCAGCGGCGCTACGTCCTACTCTTAATATCGAATTCCAACTGCCAAGGGATCTTTTACGTACACGCCAATGTGTGCACAGGACCTTGTTTTTCTGTCCCATCCAATTGACTAGAAAGCTGTCCTTGTTAGGCCCTCCGGCCTTCGCCACAGATTTTGATAAAAAAGAATTCTCTTGGTAGAATGACAATGGTAATCAATATATACAATGCTTTATCAAAATCCAATCACAAAAGTCATTGTCTTTCAAAGAATCAATCAATCAGTTTTCAATAGGCTGAATTAAAAAAGTACAGACATCATTGATGTACAAATTTAGCAAGTGACAATAATATATTGTCTTTATTTTTATCAAAATCCATTCACTTGAAGTAAAGTTATGGATTTTGATGGAATGAATTATTCAGATTACAAACTGAATATGATAAACAAGGTACATTTTTAGTTTCATCAATATCCATTAATGAAAAATAAAGATATTGCAGTCAAAAGTACCTGGAGTGTCCTGGTTTGTTAGCAATCATGGAAGTAACTCAGGTACTGCAATATTTGCAGGAAACACTTAAAATCTACTCTCATCTTCTTTTAAATCTAATCTATTTAAAGATAAAATGCTTTAAATTGAACTGTAATCTGATTTTAGATAACTCAACAGACGATGTTAACAGTTTATATAAAAAAGCTAAAGAGTTTATAAAAGATACAGGTAAGATACCTGTACGTTACCTGTATCGCAATAAACCCAGCGACCATTCTACTATTCAAGATATGGAGAAAACTGGGATCATGAAGAAATATATAAAAGACAATGCTGGAGACCCTTGTTCTTCCATTAATAACAGAATTCATGGACTCTTTTTTGCTGCTTCTCCAGACAGATTGACTGAGGAGCCACCCAACCGCAGTCCTTATGGTGACTATCGCATTATGATTAAACCTAAATACTTGCTACATGTACCTGGTCTCAATCTATATTTTGCAGACCTGTCCTGTACCTACCCAGATAGCCCACATAATGTTACACTTGTGTTGACCAAACGTGGTAGTACAGAAGATCGTTACTGTCAAAACAGGCTTATTCCTTTGAATATCGAAGAGAATGAATTTTTGTGGTACAGTAATGAAGACGACCAATACTATACAACTGCTCACAGTCGGTTGTGGGTTGAATTGTGTTATACAGAGGACATTGAGGTTCACCGAATGCGTACCAATGGAGAACTAGAGATCGTCACTAAGTGTCCAGTTTTTGGGCAAGATCGAAGTAGACCAGAAGGCACACGAAAAGAAATAGGTTGTAAAATTTGCAATCTCCCTAGGAGTGTGATGGGATTTCAAAATGTTAGATTTAGATAAAGAGCTAGCCATTCTTGCTATAATAGTTCGAAAATAGATAATGTGAAATGAATAATTTGAAAATTTCATTCAAATTACGCTACTGCGAGCCTTTTCAACCATAGCGCCATTCCTATGGAATAACCTCCCACAACATCTTCATCAGCAATGGTAACTAAGTTCAATTAAGCATGGTCTTTAAACCTATTTATTCAGCGGGCAACTTTTTATTTTTACCTTAGAATAATTGTATGGCTTTTATAATTAATGTTTTAGCTTTTATCTTATTTTATTTCTCATCATTTTTATTTAATGTTTTAACTTATATCTCATTTTATTTTTTATTATTTATATCGGTATCTAATACATTATATTTTATTTAATTTGTGATTATGTCTATCACTTAACTTTTAACTCCTGTAAAGCATTTCTGAAACAAATGTGTGGAACGCTATATAAAAATAAATTATTATTTACATGTAATATGTTTTGACTTCATTAGACTATAGGCCTACCACTGTAAAGCATTTCTGAAACGAATGTGTAGAACGCTATATAAAAATAAATTATTATTATTATTTACATGTAATATGTTTTGACTTCACTAGACTATAGGCCTAACACTATTGCTTTAACAAAAAATAAAACCTGATCTTTGCATGGATTTGAAAAAAATGTAAAGCAAAGAAAGATTCTTTGAGTTGTTGTATTATATTATATATAATTATTTTCTTAGTATATTTATTTTTGGCAGATGAAATTATCTGGCTGGTATAAAAGATTTTAAATAATTATTTTTGATAAACATTTCAATTCATTTGACAGGGAAAAAAAAAAATGAAATCAATGTGTGCTAGCCCTTCTCAAAACACACAAATTGGACTTTTACAACATCTTTGAGGAAAATATGTCAGATGCTGCAGGTCAGTTTTTGTACCATTAACCCACTGCGAATCAGTTCACACACTCTAATTAGCTGATAGCATCGACTAATCATTTTTGGCATCAACATTAGCTAACACAAGTACAAGATCAATCAACTGTTTTCTATTGTATTCATTTCTTTAAATTAATGCTAATTGGGTGATACAAATAAACCATCCAATATAAAGGAATGTTATATTCGTCAATAGTACAATAAAAATGAATTGTTTTAGAAATGGATCTCCGGGAAAATTAACAGTGTCAACGACTTTAGCATTGGTCCAACATTATCAAGATATAACTTACGTCAAATAATTCTTCAATATGGAGAATGATATGGAATCAGAATTTTTAAAATTTGCTGTCAGTCATATAGCAGAATATGATAATGTCGAAGAAATAAACTTTTTATTCTTGACATTATGAAGTGAAGAATATGAATAGTCCATCTTGGGACATGCTTTCAGTGATTTAGACCATACAACAAAACGTAAAACCAATAATTGTAAAATATGGAAAGCTAAACTGAATCAAAATTTTTAAGATTTTCTTTAAAAAATAAAACACAATTATACCCTTTCACACTGGCAGAAGTGTTCAAAGTTCAAAGTAATTATATAACTTTTAAAAAGAAATATTGCATCAACTGACCATCACTTCATATTATAATGTCGAAGATTTGAACTACTGGTATGTATTTTAATTTTCGACGCTATGAAGCAAAGAAGATGACAATCCCCCAATATATCCAAAGGCTGAAATGTCGATAGCGATGAAGTGATGGTCAGTTGGTGTGATATTTCTCTTAAAAAGTTCTATAATTATATTACTTTGAACACTTCTGCCAACATGAGAGACTACAATTGAGTTTTATATTTGAAAATAAAATCTATAGGATATTTGTACACATTATTTTACCGTTATGACAGAGAAAAGTCATACTTTTAGTAGAACAGATATTTCAAAATGATTTATAATTATAGTATAAACATAATTGTTCATTTATAGAATTGAATTTTATCTTATTGGAAAGTACACAACAATCTGTACATTTTTGTAATAAAGCATTTCTTTGTATTGAAATGGGGTTTAATGTTCTGCATCGATTGGGCTAATGAAGATGGGATTTGTATTTATAAAGAGGGGATTAGGACTAGCTACGGAGGGAAGCATGTTGGATTTATCATCTGAAGGGGTCAGGGGTGTTCTGCTACATGTACATGTCATTGGCTCTGGGTGGTTAATGTGACCCTCTCCATTTTAGCTCATGCCTCCCTATCCTGTCCCTATTGGACCAAGCAACAAATCCGAATAACTGGAATAAACACCACATATAAGAGGTTGAAATTATCTAATGATGTCAAAATATTTTCAATCAGGATGACCCTTTCTTCCCCTTTAGGTACTGAAACAATATCGAGGACTATGAAAAAAATTTCACAAATCAGCAGTGTTTCATTAAAATTCCTGTTAATCAAGGGTTCATTTAAACGCATGTCAACAACTAAAAAGGATGGACCTTGCTTTACTATTCGATCCAAATGATTAGACAGTTTCCTTGCCTAGCTCTGTGTCCTGCACCACTGACAAGTGGAAACTATTCTGGAGAATTACGAGGAACATTCACAACCAACACCTGGATCAAACATAGCTATTCAGAGTTAGTAAGCCAATGCCATAATCACTGAGCCACTGTGGCTCTTAGCCTAGCAACATCATTTGGATAAATGCATAAAATTGAATTTGATAATTGACACTATATTCTCAATAAGCCTTGTTAAATTTATAAACCCTGAAGATGCTTCACAGCCATGTAAAAGTTAGATTAGAAAGTCTATCAATAAGTGTCATTTTGTTTCAATTACTTTTAAGTTGCTATTTCATATTTACAGTCCTACCGTGTTAAAGAATAATCCTATAATTCACTATTGCCAGTTGCGAAATTGGCAAAATATCATGTTCAACTTCAAATTCAAACGTTTGAAGATAGCTATTCCATGGGGTGGGGGGGGGGTTAGAAAAACAAGGGAGGTAATTGTGTTATTATTTCCGGGGTCAAAGGATTTTTAAGTGGGAGAATAATACCTATGATCGTATAATAGTGACAACCTATTGAGCAAAAGACATAGAAATAATTATGTTTTGACTTTCTTAGAAAATATGAAATTATTGCTTTAACTTTCAGCTAATTGAGAAATGATTTTGGTAATAAATTTTGGTGAATGACTGGATTGAAGCAATAATAAATGGTCCTAATGGTCATTTTGAACAAATTCTAACCTGTGTCTCCATTCCTTGTTCAATCATCTTCTGAGCTTGTGCCTCTACTTCCTTTCTAGCTTGTTTACAGAATCTTCTATCTTGTTCTATTATCTCTATACCACTTAAATCAACGCCTTCACAAACATAATCTATAAAATATCATAATGAATATCTATACCACTTAAATCAACGCCTTCACAAACATAATCTATAAAATATCAATACCTATACCACTTAAATCACACATTTCCACAAACATAATCTATAAAATATCATAATGAATATCTATACCACTTAAATCAACTCCTTCACAAACAGGGGGGGTTGGATGGCTGAATGGTTAGCGTGCGCGCGCTGTATCATAAAGTCTGTCATTGAGTCGCCTGGCGTGGTTTCGAATCCCCGGTTGTACGAGACAAGGAGTAGGGTTGCCTGTCCAACCTCGTGGGTTTTCTCCGGGTCCTCCGGTTTCCTCCCACTGCTAAAGACCCCTACGCAAAAGCGAATTAATGAAATAAAATTAAACCATATGTTAGTCCCGAAATGACCTAGTTTGTGTCGAGTGGACGTTAAACCCCATTTCTCTCTCTCTCTCCCTTCACAAACATAATCTATAAAATATTATAATGGATATCTATACCACTTAAATCAACTTCTTCACAACAGAATAATCTATAAAATATCATAATGAATATCTATGCCACTTAAACAAGTATTATGTAAGAATTACATATTAGATAAAGAGAGAGAGAGAGAAATGGGGTTTAACGTCCACTCGACACAAACTAGGTCATTTCGGGATTAACATATGGTTCAATTTTATTTCAATAATTCGCTTGCGCGTAGGGGTCTTTAGCAGTGGGAGGAAACTGGAGGACCCGGAGAAAACCCACGAGGTTGGACAGGTGACCCTACTCCTTGTCACGTACAACTGGGGATTCAGATATTAGATAAACAGCTAGCCACTCATGCTATAATAGTTAGTTCCAAAATAGATAATGCAAAATAAATGTAGTGAGATTTCACTGATTGTAACCACTGTACTGGATGTTCGAAGCTTCTATCTGATTAAACTACAGATCTGACCATTTCCACTGTTGTATGAGCGGCTTTTGACCCTATGATTAATCAATTGATCGGAGCAGAACAGTAGCTGTTAAACCCGATTTCATTTCATACTGTGTTGTAAGAAATTCCTTTTGGCTCACTCAGTAGAAGTGTGTGAATTATCATGACTAAATGATTGAGACTAGTAAACCGTTGTTTGTCAGTGTTAGACAGCTCTACAAGTTCCATTAAAGATACATTATGGGAGATTAGATAAAGAGCTGGCGGTTCTCACTATAATACTTAAAAACTAGATAATGTAAAGGGAATTTGCTGAAAATTTCAGTCAAATTGATCAAATCTGAACAGAGAATTTAGCGGTGTATTAAAAAAAAACATGGTCTCGATTATCCATTTCTTGATTTAGTCATGAATGAGCGTCGAGCAGCAGATCGGATCCTAATCCAGTAAATATCGCAGGCTAGCAATGACATCGATAGTTGATTATGGTCTGGATAAGTTAATCAATGTCTAATTAATAATTTAGATAACATTTTAGGCTTAAACAAAGACCTGCAATAGGCACATTTAACTCTTGCTTAGTTATGTTTAATTTTGAAAAGTATATAAATTTGGCATCTAATAGTCGTTGTTCCAAATTAAAATTATTTTTAAACGAAGAGTCATTGTACTTTACCTAATTCATTTAAACTTTGAGCAGCTTTGGTTATTTCTCTAGAACCACCTTGCAACTGTCCGTGTAATCGTTTACTTAAATACATTATTCTTATAATTCTTCTCAATAGATCACACGTTTCCTGTAAAAAAAATAAACAAGAAAAATAGTTCAACAAAATATAAGGGTGACTATTCAATGTGTAAAAAAAAAAGAAATAGGTAAATCCATCAAAGAACATATGTGGCACTGGATCGGACATAACAATTGTTTCTGTTATTCAAAAAGAATATGTCAGGAATTAGAGTGAAACCCAAAAGGCAACTGGAGAAGTTAGTTGAACTCTAAAAGACTATCAGTATTCCTTGAGGAGAAGCAAAGTAAGCTGTTTCGGAGTGAAACTGTTGGAAAATTACTGTGCAGAGCATATGTTCCACTGGGAATGGAAAGGACTAAAGAAAAAGATAGGTTGCCAGGCAATGAAACATACGCCCACAGCAGCTAAATCGTCCGGGCAGTCAACAAGAGTTGTCGCATATTTTTACTTTTTTCGGTAATGAAACATTTATAGTACACTAAAATCTGATTAAGAGCAACAACTCAGAAAACCATTAGAATTTGTTTGGTTTTTATAAAGTTCTGCACCATGCTAACATTTTGTATACAAAACTTTTAATATCATTGATTTAGCTGTTCCAAGTCCTAAAAATTCATTGAAAATCAATATACTTGTTCCTCTCAAGATCTTAAACTCTGTGTATCAATCTGAAGTCAATTGGATGATTACTTTAGCCTTTAGAGCGTCACAAGATTTTGCAAAGTGATCAAGGGCCATAACTTTGGCAGTAATTATCAGAGATCGTTGAAAATCAATAAGATTTTTTGCCTCTTGATCTTAAACACTGTGTATAAATTTAGGGTCAATCGGATATTAACTTTGGCCTCTAGAGCGTCCACAAGATTTTTTGAATCAAGGACCATAACTCTGGCAGTAATTATAGGAAATCGCTGAAAATCAATAGGCTTCTTCGTCTCATGACCTTAAACATTGTGTATAAATTTAAAGTCAATCGGATATTAACTTTGGCCTCTAGAGCGTCCACAAGATTTTTCAAAGTGATCAAAGGCCATAACTCTTGCAGTAATTATCGGAAATCGTTGAAAATAAAAGGCTTCTTTGTCTTATGACCTTAAACACTGTGTATAAATTTAAGATCAATCAAATATTAACTTTGGCCTCTAGAGCGTCCACAAGATTTTTTGAAGTGATCAAGGGCCATAACTCTGGCAGTAATTATCGGAAATTGCTAAAAATCAATAGGCTTCTTCGTCTCATGGCCTTAAACACTGTGTATAAATTTAAGATCAATCGGATATTAACTTTGGCCTGTAGAGCGTCCACAAGATTTTTTGAAGTGATCAAGGGCCATAACTCTGGTAGTAATTATCAGAAATTGCTGAAAATCAATAAGCTTCTTCGTCTCAAGACCTTAAACACTGTGTATAAATTTACGACCACATTTAAATGTGGGCGTATAAAAAGGTGAAAAAAATGGAGTCTGCTTTACATTTCGACAACATGCAGCAGTGTACTATGAGCGAAATTCTGAGTGGACTGCGGTCAGGTGATATTTAAATTGCTACTGTACTAAAAGGTACACATGGGACCTTGGTTTTTTTTTTAGTTTTGTTTCTATCTCATCCGATCAAGTAGGCACTTTTCTTGTCAGGTCCTGACAAGAGGATCACTGACACCACTCTTGTTTCATCACTGACAAGAGGAAACCAGGTTGGACAATTTGGAGGACTGAATCTGCGACCCCCTAGTTAGTGAAGAGACAGAATACTTTTAAAAAGTGAAATATTACATGGTTATATTATAGATAAACAATAGTTAGTTGTCCGTTACATTTTATATCATTTTCCAAATCTAATAGGGGGGGTTGTTGGCCGAATGGTTAGCATGTGCACGCTGTATCATTGAGTCAACTGGCGTGGTTTCGATTCCCCGGTTATACGTAACAAGGAGTAGGGTCGCCTGCCCAACCCCCTGGGTTTCCTCCTCCCACCGCTTAAGATAGTGGAAAATGTGATAGTGAAGGGTAAAGTTATATTTCATTATGTACATAATAACAACACACACACACACACACACGTATTAGAAATACAAGCCACCCCTGAGACAGGAAAGAGACACGTAAAAACACCATCACGATAGTTGCTGGACATATATATAAAATTAACCCAACTTACTTGTAAATGTCGTAACTGTGTGGTTCTAGCCAGTATTTTGTTATAAGGTTCGGAAACTTTGGATCGAATTCTATCCATGGCAGCCAGTAAGGACTGTATCCTTGTCTGCATCATTTGAAGAACTCCTAAATAACAAAATTATTGAAAAAATCATACAATCACATCACTATATAACACTAATGTTGGGGGTCTACTGAGTACATGTATATCCATGAAATATTTCATGCATTAATAACTCTGTTGAAAGAAATGAAATGAAAATGAATTTGGATTTAAACTAAAGTCCTAGTGTTCTGCTCTGTCTGACAAGGCTAAGGAAGACAGGCATATGCCACACAGTGTGCTATGAGGGAAATTTTGCCCGGAAAGCGGTGGTACAACCACTCTAATATCAATTTTTTTTTACTTTCACCCTTAATGTGTACACAGGACCTTGGTTTTTCATGGTCCTTTGACAGGATCTCTATCATGCACCACTGACAAGGGGGAACCATGTGGAAAATCCAGTTGCACTAGCTTCGAGCCACCACTATTGAAAGAAATAACGTGAAGTAAAATTTTGGTAACAATTTACAAGTAGCTTCTACCCCATTCAGAATTGCTGTGAGTGAAATATATATATTTTTGCTTTATAAAATGAGGACGAGATGTTATTTCTACAGAATTTGTAAATTGAACAATATATCTTACCTTCCAAAGTTTCAACACTGGTTGCTTGTGATAACAGATCATCATGATGACTTACAATCTAATAAATAAATAAATAAATAAATAAAGCATGACAATTCATAAGAAGGCTCTAGAATTTGTGAGTATTGTCTGACAGTCGTTGAAATTGACCATCTGGAGAATTTACCTGTCAGTCAATTTACACACACCAAGAAATTAAAATTTCAAAGAATTTACCTTTAAACACAATAAATACAATTAACTGATTAGTGTTTATGTGTAAACTATTTAAAATGTATTTAAAAATTGAGATACTGCTAACAATTGTCATATTCGTTCAAAAAAACCCAAATCACATTGCTAATATGAGGTAAACAAATAATGTGAAAGCTCTGGTTCATACCTGCAGGCTGGTCAGAAATGTTAGAAGTTGATATTAGTTTTGAAAAATTTAATCATGGCAGTAGCACGTTCAGAGGAACATTGCTTTACATATATAAAAGGAATTTACCTGTGAATGTATTTCTCTATCTAGTAAAGAGATACCTTCTGCTAATTTACCAAGTTGTTCAGATATGGCAACAGTTTGTATCAATCTATTAGCATGAGCCTTTACATCAAACTCTTCATTCAAAAACTGATGAAATATTTCTGAAATCAAGATAAAAATCTTAATAGTATAATTGTACATCTAAAGTCCAACGAATAGCCAAACAACGTTTTCTGACAAACGTTAGCCGATGTGCATTGTATCATTAGCAAAATGCTGATCTCAACACAAAAATTGGTTCGCGAGGTCAAACTGTTTGATTTCAAAAACATATGGTTCAATTTTATTCTCAAAATTCGCTTTTTGGTGGTTTTACAGGTGACCCTACTCCTCGTCACATACAAGCGGGGAATAGAAATCACACCACTTGACCCAATGTCAAATTCTTATCATTTAACATCTGACCATTCTGCCACACGATCCCCCTGTTAACGGTCCATTTAAACAATAACTAAACATACATCTGCAAAGACTGATTGCATAATCTGAGTTTTCTATGATCAGTTTTGGACTTTATATCCTGAGGAAAGAGTAACACGCATACAATAGATTGTCCAATCTGTGCTATGTAGAATATCATGGATGCTTTGGTGGGGATATGCAGTCAAAAATTATCAAATGTCATTATCCTTAGTGATTTGTTCAAATCGCTTGAAATCAATAATAGCATTGCCTATTATTTATGGTCTGGCAACAAACCAGCTCCGTAGGGGAGAATAACATTACTGAGCTTGACTCATAAGAATTGAAAGACTCATAAGAATTTAAATGAGGTTTAATGGCCTACTGTTTTGCTCCGACTGGGCTCATGAAGACAGAGGAAAATTTTGCCCAGACAGCGACGCTATGGCCTACTCTTAAATTGAATTCCAACTGCCAAGGGATCTTTAATGTGCACGCCAATGTGTACATGGGACCTTGGTTTTTCGTAACTTCAAAATGACAAGACAACTGTCCTTGTCAGGCACTCCGTCCTGCACCACTGACAAAGGGAAACCATGCTGGAAAATCCCGATTAACTTTCTCAGCCAACACCCGGAGTGAACCCGCGACCTCCAGGCTAACCAGTCTGCGTCTTACTCACTGAGCCACCGTGACTCCTTGACTCATAAGAGTTTACAAGTCATTTAAACCAACGTTTATCACAGGATCAGTAGCAGGTTAATCACTATAAAGCTGAAGGCATTAAAACACAATTTATTTGGAAAACAATAACTGAGTTTATTTCACACTACGTTTGAACAAGCTGAAGGTGAAATAAAAGCTAAGAAAAATAAAATTTAAGCCTAACACATCCAGCTGTTGTTGCATGAATGTTTCCTCTAAATATGTCAATAGAAAAGCTCTCACAAATAAAATGAGTTCCGTAAATCAGGCACTCAGTGTTACAAATCTGCTGTATCTTAGAACAGTTGGAGACCAAATACTTGATCTACATATTCTACTTTGGTGTTTAAACTTACATATGACATGTTACCCTATCTGCGAGAAAAAAAGAGTGTTTGTTAGGGTTGGAGTTAAAGTTTACTTCAACATTCCAATGTAATATGGTTCAATTTTATTTCAATAATTCACCTGCATGTACCGCTGTCTAGGGGTCATTAGCAGTGAGAGGAAAATGGAGGACCAACCCAAATCCAAAACCCCCTCTAACTTAGGTTTGTGGCAAGACAACAGCTGACCCTCTCGACTTTGTCCCCAGGAGTAGTATCGCCTAATTGCCAGTCAGTGCCTGACCTTTTTTAAGTATCATCGGCATTAACCTACTTTAGATTGAAGTGAGTGTGACAAAGTGGGTCAGTCAACAGCTTCCTACAACCATCCCAGCGGTCATGAATAGGTTATGTGGTGGTGTGAGCTTTTTCTTACATAAATATCATGTCGACCCAATTTCTGTTAATTAGTTCTAGAGTTATGGCCCTTGTTTCACTTTCAAAAATCAATAGGGTTTGTCGTCTCATGACTTTAAAATGAAATGAAATGAAATAGGGTTTAAAGTCCTACTGTTCTGCTCCTAACCTGGGCTAATGAAGACGAGCATACTCCATACAGTGTGCTATGAGGGAAATTTTGCCCGGACAGCGGCGCTATGGCCTACTCTTATATCGAATTCCACACTGCCAAGGGATTTTTTACATGTACGCCAATGTGTACACGGGACCTCGGTTTTTCGTCCCATCCGACGACTAGACAGCTGTCCTTGTCTGGCCCTCCATCCTGCATCACTGACAAGTGGTAACCACGATGAAAAATCTAAATGAACTTTCACGACCAATGCAGGAATCGAACACCCGAACTCCAGGCTAGCGAGCCAGTGTCTTATGGCAGTATATTGGACTCAAAATTCTAACATGCTATCGTCTAATTTCTAACTTCTATTCATGTAATTTCTAACTTCTATTCATGTAATTTCTAAATTAAGACAATGTATAATCCAATTTCTTTTTTTGTTCAGTGTAAATTTTAATTCTATTTCATCTTATTTCTATTATTTAGATGGAAATGCCTTTTTCATTGAGGCTTTACATGTTAAGCATGAAAGTCAAACAAATTTAGAATTTTGATACTTCTACTTAGCAACCATCATTATGACGTCGTTTGGTGTCGCCACCATTATGTTGATACCAACGACTCGCACTCGGCAAACCTCAACAGATTCCAGTAGCCTACCCTACATCTAATCTCGGCTGTATGACAAAGTCCGCCATTAGAACTACTTTCAAGTTCCCGGATTACAATGGCGTTGTCCATGACGACCAATGACGTCATTGATGACGACGTATTTGAAGAATGTTTTATCTTACAAAATTTTCAAAGTTTGAAGCTGTTTTTCTTTCAAGTTTATCCAATTTTCTTTAGACAAGGACAAATTTGCACTGAAAATTCTACACACTCTTCGAACGACGCAATTTTGAGAACTTCTTTCTAAACGCGGCCAAGTTTCCCTTATAAGTAAACCGGTGCCGCATCGCAAATGTATAGGCATAGGTACATATCACTTACTGTCATACAGCCGAGGCTAGATGTAGGGTACCGGAATCTGCCGAGGTTTGCCGAGTGCAACGACTCGCTCTTCTTCAGGTTGAATGGTTTGGCGGAGTGTTGAAATTGAAAACAACATCGAACGTGACATGGTTTGCAAATTGAAATACTATTTCAAATATAAGCTAAACCGCAAATGTTGTTTAGCTTGTATTTGAAATAGTAGGCCTATTTGTCAATCATATCACGTTCGATGTTGTTTTCAATTTCAGCATCGATTATCGGTTCGGCGGTTGTACGTGACAAGGAGTAGTGTGGCCGGTCCAACCTCGTTGGTTTTCTCCGGGTCCTCCTGGTTGCTCCCACTGCTAGACCCCTCCTTGCAAGCGAATTATTGAAATAAAATTGAACCATATGTTAGTAACGAAATGGTCTAGTTTGTGTCGAGTGGTCGTTGAACCCCATCTCTCTCTCTCTTCGTCTGGAAATGAAATGGGGTTTAACGTCCTACTGTTCGATTCCGAACTGGATTAATGAAGACGGGCATATGCGCCATACAGTGTGCTATAATGGAAATTTTGCCAGGACAGCGGCACTACGGCCTACTCTTATATTGAATTCCAACTGTCAAGGGATCTTTTACGTACACGCAAATGTGTACACGGGACCTCGGTTTATAGTTCCATCCCATCGACTAGACAGCTGTCCTTGTCAGGCCCTCCGTGCTGAAATTGAGAGAGAGAGGGGAAAAGAGAGAGAGAGAGGAGGGGGGGGGGGGGTCAACGAACACTCGACACAAACTAGGCCATTTTGTTAC